AAATGCGCAGACACAATTACGTCTGCATTCGGTGGCAATCAGGATTGAGCTTGCGTCCATTCAAGCTCTTCAGCAAGAATTCCCAGCCTGCTTCATTGGCACACGCGTTGGCCGATCTTAAAGCGGATTCATTAGGAACATTACATGATAAACATAGATTTTAATTTTAATAAACCTCGGTATATTATTAACTATTCAAACTATGCTTTAGGCATAGCCTTACTCACCATTATCAGTGAATTCTCCATTGATCAAGCCAACCGTTCCAATTCCGTATGGACCTCCGTATGGACCTCCGTATGGACTTCCGTGTGGACTTCCGAGAGCCTGAAAAGCAAGACAACCAATGGCCAAAAGAGTGGCGAACACTTGAAATTGTACCGTTGTTGCAGTCATCTTTGTTGGTAGAGAAGAGGATTGAAGACGGCCGCTCGTTTGCTCTATGCTGCCGGGTTAAATAGGATCATTTTCTGATCTAATTGGCTATCCCTAATCCTTGCACAAGATCTATAAATAGCCTAGTTAGTTTATTGGATAATTGTTTCACAGCTGATAGCATTGTTCACTCGATGAAAAAAGATACTTCTGACTAAGCTGTAAAGTTTTTGGCCATATGTGGTGATTGTTAGTCGAGACTCGCTAAGCACGAGAAATAGGTTTGGTAACTCGGACATTTTTAGACGAATGGATGAGTCGTGATCACACATGTCACAAAGAAACAACTAATTGCTCTATTGCCCTTACTTGACTCTGACTAATCATCATGCACCCTCATAAAAGAGTATACTTTCGATTGGCCCTACCAGATTTAAGGGGACCGAGACAAGGAAGGAGAAGGAAGGAGGAATTATCAAATTGGATGTCATTAAAGAGAGATGATTATCAAGCATACTGAATAAAAACTAGTATTCATATTAATGAATCACCCAAGTTAAAAGTTATGCTGATAATTGCAATTGAAATTCCATTTAGCAGCAGAAACTAGATACAATTTCACTGATGAGAAGAGTGCTTTTCAGACAATGTACGATTACTTGAAGATAATGACTTTGCCCAAACTATTACGTGTCAGATTTTAATTGATAAAAAAACCTTTAACCTATTAATCTTCATGGTTTAAACACGGCTTACTCTGACAACCACCGTCAGGGGTATTCAAATCAAGGGAATTACGGACATAAAATAAAAAGAATTTCAATTACATACATACATACAATGCAAATCAATCGTCAAGTGAATATGGCTTGCAATTTGAAGCTTATTTGTTGTCAATTTACTTCAAATTTGTAATTGTTAAAAACCAGAGCTTGCTTTTAAACTCTCTATTTTATTGATGCAATGCAAGCAGCCATTTAAGTTCAGGAAAATAGACCTAAAAGACATGCAAACCAGAAGTAAATTTTATAATTATGGTTTGCGATGACGAAAATTAGACTTTAATTTATCTGAAGATTATTCTCCTGGTGGAGCCAGGCTTTTCACATTGAGGACAGTGTAGACAGGCCAATATGCTGGCAATACTATTCAATGATACAACCCGTCTATATCAATGCAACAGATTTACAAAAAAATAAATTTAAAAAAAGGAACCAGAATACAAACAAAGTGTTAGTGTGGAAGAATCAGGCGATCTTTTTACATTCTCGTTTGAAGACCAGCATGTACAGTGAACAAAGAAATCTTCAGAAAACAATGGTGAATACTGCATTAAGGTGAAGTAAAACATTCTGCACGGAGTAACTATTGGTGTAAACAACTTGAAGACTAGTTTGGGGAATTTTTGACACCTTAGATCATGTAAAACGACGGAAGATTGATAGTTGAGTTTCTTATCATAACTAAGTGATAGAGTCAAGTATTGTTTTCGTGACTACCAGTAAATCAGTAATATGAGATGTATTCACCCAATTTCGCTTAAGCTGATA